TATTCAGCTCGAGGGATCTGTGGATGAAGAGTCTACAAAATCAGACGAGGAGTACGATGATCTTGCTATGCAGGACGGTCAACAGATTGGTGAATGTGGCCACTGCTCTGATTTGGATGATGAAGAATCCAATTGGTTCAGTTCGCGTGATAAGATAGTACCTGTATCAGGGGACGAAGAAGGTCATGCCGCCACCTTTGATGGAATCTACCAGCAAAAAACGAACGGTCCTTTCACTGGAAGTAGTGAATGCAAATCATTTTTTGAGGAACCATCACTACTCCACTGTAGTCCTCTTTCTCCCCTTCGAGAGAAAAATGACTTGATGCCATCTCCAAATTTCAGCAATGGCATAACGGGAAAACGTTGTCACGCCATTTTATCCCTGGAGAACCATTTATAGTGCCACGATGCTACAAAATCTTATCTTACCATTGTATGTCTTGCTTCTGTATGTGCATCTCCATTACCTGTTTTCAATGTGGAGAAGGAGGGTTTTGGTGGATGAATGATCACATTGATTTGGGGTCAAGGTTTCGGTGGATGAATAATCCTTTGTACTTGTAGGGGTAAGGTATGCGTATCGTACACCAACCTTAACAAACCCAACTATTGGGACCTTGTTGGGTTGTTGTTGTGCTCAATGTATGTCGGTTGTTGATTGTTGAAGAGGGAATAACACTTCCTACTTATTTAAATAGATCTGTTGATCCAGAGTTGGCTAATTTATAGTACTTTACACAATTCTGCAGAGCTCATTAACTTCTCCAGTTGACAATATTTATTTGAACAAGAAGGTGCCTCATGGGTTTGAAAAATAGAAAGAAAACATGGATGGATGTGTACATCTTAGCTTAGAATTAACTAGACATTGTATACAGAGTAATGCTACATGCATATCGCTTCGCACACCACCCCTTTTCCTACCACACTTTTTATCTGTTCTTCATTTTTTTATACACACAAAAAATGTACGGTAGAGGGAAGAGTGGTGTGCAAACCGGTGTGCGATTTGGTGTGCACAATATTTAGACCATACATTTTACTTTCCTTAAATTGTGTGTCAAATGAAATCGAGAGCCTTTATTTGAAAGGGAGGGAGTATATAGTTAAATATTTGAATCAGACAAGCTTACGTGCCCAAAAAACGTACGTCCTAAAGTAAAAGTTTAGGTGCTCACTCAAATATGGCGGTTCTACAAATCCTCTATCTATAGAGGGTGGAACATCAAATTTAGCTTCCTTGCTAAAGTATGGCCTTCCCACCCATTGTGGTCGGAAAACAGCTACAATGTCTTCTAAAAAGTTTATATTTTAACATAAAGTTTACCGGTTGGAGATGTTCCAAGAACCATGTACTTGCTATTTTTGGGGGTGCAATTACAGTTAAGAATTAAGTCTAGGGCGTAACTCAATTGGTCAATAAAAGATGTAAAACGGCATAATGTCCGAGTTCGACTCCTGACAATGACGATAAAAGACGAACATGCGTAGCATTGAATCATTGCATAAAAGGTCAATTTACCTCCTATTGAATCCTTACACCTAAAAGGGACAACTATCAATCAATATTTATTAGTCTAAAATTAAAGTTCAGCTTACCTAATCCAGCCACGTCCTAGAGACCATAGGATGTAGTCTATCTTTCTTTTTTTACTTAGTACATGCATTTCGGATGTTAAGGCAAAGCATAGGATTTTGTAGCTTTTATTATGCCAGTTCTCCATCTCCATTTGAGTCATCCCTTCCTATGAAGGATTAACAAATACTCTGATTCCTCTTATGTCTTGTTTCTAGAATTGCTCTGCTTCTTTCAAAGTCTCTGTTGCATAAATGTCCTATTATGTTGTTTTATGCAGATTGATCTATTCACAATGTTTATAACTATATTTTCACTACCATCTTGCCCATAGCCAATCTCAACTTCAACTACTTTGTATATCATTGCAAAAGGTGAAAGATCTCTTTTCATTTATAAAGAATGAACACAATCCATAAAGTCTCTCCCCAAGACCCGTGGGACAATTATGTGAGAGTAGACAAATTGAGTTATAATTTACGTCTGACAAATAAGAAATGAAGTATACTCTGATACGTGCAAGGACTCCAAGTGATGACACGTGTATGGTAAAATCGAGAGCAAGCAAGTCTTTCGTCTCATCTAATAGAAAGATAGAGAGGCTCTAATGCAATGTTTGAAATGGCATTGTGCAATACGCCATATTGCTTGCCTCATGGCGCCTATCGCTTTGTGGCGAGCAGTTGATGCCTTTCTCAGACCAGGCGTGGCGTTTTACGCCATTCTCGCTTATGGCATTCGCCAAGGACGCCATACTCTGTGGCGATAGGTGTTCGCCATCTACCCCAGACGCAAGTCAAGGATTTTTAAAGGAGAAGTTTGACTTTAAAAAAATGCGCTGACCTATTAATCCTCAATCGATTCAATCGAACTACCTCTACGTCTCGCTGTCTCCTCAACTTCAACTGCATAGTCGATCGAATAACTTCACCTCAGCCGGCTTAGCCTCCTCAACTTCTCCTCAGCCGGCGCAACCCCTCCTCTCTCTCCCGAGTCCAGAGCCGGCGCAAAGTCCAAACTCCACTTTGCAGGTCAGACTTTTTATTTTTGTTTTCTTATTATTTCTTTTTTGAATGCTTATTGTATCTTTATTGTCTTCACTATGTGTATTATTATATTCTTAATTTCTTATAAATATATTTTTTCATTTTTTTGTACAATAGTTTTTCACCAATGGCGGAAACTTCCTCCAAAAGTAATCGAAAGGATTTGACTTGGAAATATATTTGACTTGAGGATCTTAAAAATACAAATAATACTACGTGTATTTTTTGTAATAACCGCTATACTGGAAGAATTAGTAGAGTAAAACGACATATAGTTGGTGGATATTCTGATGTAAAGGCATGTGACAAAGTGTCTGATACCGTGAGAGAAGTGATTCGATCTTATATGGCTGAGTAGAAGAAGACAAAAGATCAAATTGTGCTAGACAGAGAACTTGATCGACTGCGATTTCGTGAAGAGGCTTTGATTGACTATGGAGATGATGATGGAATTGGTGAATTGACTAAATCTAAAAAGCCAAAGTTGAACAAGAAGGGACCTATGGATATGTTTGTTAGTCATACTCATATTGGACAACAAAGTGCTAAGACAATGAATAAACAGAAGAGCTTAAATGAAGAAGCACTTAAAGAGTTGCGAACTCGAGCATGTTCGGCCATATCAAGATGGATGTGTGATGCTGCTATTTCTTTTAATGTAGTAAACTATGAAAGTTTCCAAGAAATGATTGATGCAATTGGAAAACATGGCCCAGGAATGAAAGCTCCATCTTATTATGAGGTAAGAGTTCCACTTCTCAAATAAGAAGTTGAGCATGTGAAGAAATCCATGGAAGGCCATAAAGAAGAATGAGCAAAACATGGTTGCTCCATTATGTCAGATGGATGGAAAGATAATAGGGAGAGGACATTAGTTAACTTTTTAGTTAATTCTCTCAATAGTAGTGTGTTTGAGAAACCTATTATTGCTTCTGAGTATTCTAAGACAGGTGAAAAGTTCTTTGAGCTTCTCAGTGAATTTGTTGAAAGTGTTAGTCCACAAAACGTGGTGCAAGTGATTACTCACAATGCTTCAAGCATGACGAGTGCAGGTTTGATTCATGAGTCCTTTATATTTTCCTTAAAAATTTAAAAAGTACATATATTTAGATTTTATGTTTTTGTTTTGATGTTTTTTTAGTTTAAAATATTCTTTTCAATTTTTTTTTATAATAACAGGAGACTTATTAATGACAAAGTATAAGCATTTGTTCTGGACGCCTTGTGCAGCTCATATATGTTATATTATAAGTTGCCTTGTGCAACTTATTTTATCCATAGTTGTGAATGGCGAATGGCAAGTGGCAGGCGAGAGGTTCTTTTTTATGGCGAGAAGTGTGGCGAGCGGCGGGCGGTCAAATGGCGAACATTATAAAAATAAATAAATGTAATATAATATATATGATCTGCACAAGGCGTCCAGAACAAATGCTTATACTTTGCCATTAATAAGACTCCTGTTATTACAAAAAAATTGAAAAAAATATTTTAAACTAAAAAAACATCAAAATAAAAACATAAAATATAAATATATGTACTTTTTAATTTTTTTTGGAAAATATAAAGGACTCATGAATCAAATCTGGACTCTTCATGGTTAAAGCATTGTCAGTAATCACTTGCACCACATTCTGTGGACCAACACTTTCAACAAAATCATTAAGAAGCTCAAAGATATTTTATAATACTCAGAAGTATAAATAGATTTCTCAAACACACTACCTTTGAGAGAATTAACTAGAAAGTTAACTAATGTCTTCTCTCTATTATCTTTCCATACATCTGACATAATGGAGCAACCATGTTTCTCTCATTCTTCTTTATGGCCTTCCATGGATTTCTTCACACGCTCAACTTCTTTTTTGAGAAGTGAAACTCTTACCTCATAATAAGATGGAGCTTTCATTCATGGGCCATGGTTTCCAATTGCATCAATCATTTCTTGAAAACTTTCATAGTTCACTGCATTAAAAGGAATAGCAACATCACACATCCATCTTGATATGGCCGAACATGCTCGACTTCGCAACTCTTTAAGTGTTTCTTCATTTAAGCTCTCATGTTTATTCATTGTCTTAGCACTTTGTTGTCCAATATGAGTATGCCTAACAAACATATCCATAGGTCCCTTCCTGTTCAACTTTGGCTTTTTAGATTTAGCCAATTCACCAATTCCATCATCATCTCCATAGTCAATCAAAGCCTCTTCACGAAATTGCCGTCGATCAACTTCCCTGCCTAGCACAATCTGATCTTTTGTCTTCTCCTACTCAGCCATATAAGATCGAATCTCTTCTCTCACGGTATCAGACACTTTGTCACATGCCTTTACATCAGAATACCCACCAACTATATGTCGCTTTGCTCTACTAATTCCTTCAGTATAGCAGTTATTATAAAAAATACACGTAGTATTATATGTATTTTTAAGATCATCTAGTCGAATATATTTCCAAGCCAATCCTTTCAATTACTTTTGGAGGAAGTTTCTGCCATTGGTGAAAAACAATTGTACAGAAAATGAAAAAATATATCTATAAGAAATTAAGAATATAATAATACACATAGTGAAGGCAATAAAGAAACAATAAGCATTCAAAAAAAAAACAATAAGAAAACAAAAATAAAAAATCTGACCTGCGAAGTGGAGTCTCGACTTTGCGTCGACTATGGACTCTGTGAAGCGCGACTCTGGACTCGGGAGAGAGAGGAGGGGCGGCGCTGGCAGAGGAGAAGTCGAGGAGGCTTAGCCGGCTGAGGAGAAGTTATTCAATCGACTATGCAGTTGAAGTTGAGGAGATGGCGAGACGCAGAGGCAGTTCAATCGAATCGATTGAGGATTAATAGGTCAACACATTTTTTTAAAAAAGTCAAGCTTCTCCTTTAAAAATCCTTGACCTGCGTCTCGCCACAGGCGAACGCCTATCGCCACAGAGTATGGCGTCCATGGCGAACGCCATAAGCGAGAATGGCATAAAACGCCACGCCTGGTCTGAGAAAGGCGTCAACTGCTCGCCACAAAGCCATAGGCGCCATAAGTGAGAATGGCAAGCGTCATTAATAACTATGACATCATCTTTAGAGCTTTCACGAAAAACTATAAGCTTAAATCTTTCTCCATCCCATTTTCATTTCATTTTCCCAATAACTTAGAGGACTTGTTGGAGTGACAATGACAGATTTTTTACCACAAAGTTTTCATCAAAGCTTTGATAAGGAAGGGTATATAGCTGATAGCAACATGATTTAAACAAATATCCGCTGTGAGAAACACTTTGTTTTAGAAACAGGTCAGCATATTTTTAAAGTCCATTTCATCACATAATACCATTCCACTGAGTCTAACCTACAGTTTCACTACCAACTCCCTTAGTGCCCATCTCAAGTTAAAGTATATTACTATAAGAGCTGAAATGTTGTTTCTCCATTCATGGAAACTAACTCTTCAACTACCAAATTTCTTTCTGAGTCAAACAAGGAATAGAACTCCTTAACTCCTCTTTGGGGATGCCCCTTTTGATTAGAACGGTCAGTCTTGCCCTTGCCTCTTCGATTCGGTCCAACTTGCACAAACCACAAATCACCTTCTCATACACAATCAAATCGGGAAAAAATCCTTTCTTCTCCATCAGACCTAGTAAACTAACTGCTTCCACCATCATCCCCTCCTCCAAATAACAGTGCATTAAGGCCTCAAACGTAACTTGGTCCAGCTCAAAACCTTTCTTCTGCATAATTTCAATAAGTTCATTGGCAGCTTCAACCTGGCCATTCTTACAAAGTCCACTCAACAAACACGAATACGTATCCGTGTCTAAACTAACATTTTGTTCGTTCATCTCGGAAACTAAAGAAACTGCTTTATCTATTTCACCTGATCTGCAATGCACCTTCATAATTAAATTGTACAGATCAGTATCCACCCTAAACCCCTTCTCGTGCATCTCCCGAATCGTTCTCTCTGCATCTCCCGTTCTCCCACTGCTCGAAAACCCACAAATCAAAAATCTGTATGTGTCGACAATGAAATCCACGCCTTCACAACTCATCAACGTCAAGACATTGCGCAATTCTTCAAAATTCCACCTGTTAGTGCAGGCTTCCACAAGTGTGTTAAAGGTTATAATGGTTGGTTTTAATCCTTTACTAGCCATCTCTTCAACAAGCTCTCTGCCCCTCTTTATTTCCCCATACTTGCACAGCCCGTCCACCATCGCAGTCAAAGAAAACACAGAAATTTGAATGCCAGATTCAACCATCCGGTAAAAGAATTCCAATCCCAACCCACATTGATCACATTCCATAAGCTTAATGAGATGAACAGTACAAGTCCTCTCATTGATCTCAACACCATTAATTATCATATAATCAAGTATCTCCAGAGCCATTCCAAACTTTTGATTATCCGAGTAAGCCTTAAGCAACCAATTAAACACTTTTGAAGCTACTCTCAAAGAAACATCATGGGTCTCAATAAAAGCAGCTAAAACGCTATACCTGAAGCTCTCATGATTTGAAACAGCACCCAGAATAGACTCGGCAACTTGGAACTCTTTGGCCTCAGCCAGCCTGCAGACAAGAGACAAATGGGCGTCGAAATTGAGCTGGAAAGACATTAAAGATTGGTTTTTTTCGAGGAAACTCAGGAATTCAATGCACTTGGGAGTGTTGAGATGTGGGTCAGATACAATAAGGTGGACAAGGGAAGGGGTTAGCTTGGGGAGGAGGGCGGCAGGGGAGGCGTGGTGATTGACCAAAACAGCATTGATAATGGCGTCTCCAATCTTGGTCGAGTGTTGAAGGTGGGGTTTTGGGAGATCATAAACACTGTGACATCTTTTGACAGTGTTGAGGTTTTGAAGGAACTTTTGGAGTGACATTAAGATCGCGCGGAGACTGCGGAAGAAACGTTTGTGATATCGATCGGCTTGTTTGGATCTCTCTCCTTTCGCAGGCGGCTGCAAACCCTAGATCACGAGAGGTCTATTTCCCACATCTATGAAGTGGCAGAATATGTAGCAAAATGGTCATTGCTTGTGGGGAAAACTTTACACAGAAGAGCGCTGTAATATATTGTCGGGGCTTAGAACTTGACGAGGAAGAAAAGGCTCTTCACTGAAACGGCATTTGATGGCCTGGGGAAGTCTAGCTCTGGAAGAGATGAAAAAAAGGTGGGTGTTGCTGGGCGGCGGCATACAATTAGTAAGCCAAAATATTTGAAGCTTCAAGATGATACAGATGAAGTGAAAGGTATGGTGCTTACAAGTTACCCCGTAGTACATCTTCACGAGAGATGCCTGTCGAGTAAGTATATGGAACTGTAGCTAGAGATTGGTACATCGGGTAGTACTCATTTTGAAATTAAGTGGTACTCATTCTCGCACAAACATAACACTTCATTTGAAATATTGTAATACTCATTCTGAAATAACACAGTACTCATTCTGAAAATAACATAGTACTCAATTTCGCACATTTGTACAATATTAATTTATGAATGACGTAATACTCATTCTAAAATCTAGTAATATTCATTCCTAAATACCCTAGTACTCATTCTTAAATAACCTACCATTCATGAAAATCTAAAATCTTGTTGAAGACCATATTGGAATTAGAACGGATTTGGAACTAGAGATTAGCGTACATGAACTTAATAGCGGAATAGCGGATTGGAAGAGTCTTTTCATCGCCGATAGATTTCACCCAAACCTGCCGCCTTCATCGCCGATCGGTTTCGCCCTAACCTGCCGCCGCAGATCTTCCTTCTTCATCGCCGCAGATCCAGTTCACCTTCTTCATTGCCGACCTTCCTTTAGCCCAAATTAAACGCCGGCTGTACGGTTCTTCCCGTACAGCCGGTTGTACGATATAAATTGCCATGCCTGTCACTGCTGAAAAATTGGTACCTATTCCAAACCTATTTCTAAAATGTTCTTGGTTTGAAATTGTAGCAGTTATATCCCTTCAAAGTTCAAAGGACCATGCTACATTCACACCATAGATTATACACCATTTGTACACCACACTTATGCACAAACATTTTGACAGTTTACACCGACACAAGTGTTGGTGCGTTAGCAAAAATTAGTTTTACACCAACACAAAATGTTGGTGCAAACTTGTGGGGTACAAATTGGGGTATAAGTGTTGGGGTACACATAGTTTAATCCAAGTTCAAATCATATTCAGATCATTTTCGGGTGGACAAGGGCGTTGATGCCTACTCCTTCCGTTCACAATTAAATTTCGTGTTCACTATTCACATGATCAAATTTTATTTACTTTATTGACATATTTTAATTACGCATTTGATAAATTAATATAGTCATGTCACTGGTAGTTTTGTACCGAGTAGATCTTTTGATATAATTTTTTAATATGTAATTTTTATTTTAAAATTTCACACCAATTTTAATATAAAATAATTTAAAATTAACTTCAGTCAAACAACGCAACGCGCAACGGGAAGTTTATTTGTGGACGGAGGGAGTATTTTCTAAACCATAGGGGCATACATTCTCATTTCTTATTTTTCGTTTATTATTTAGTTTTTTTCTTTTTAAAACTATTTTTATCTCTTTGTTTCTCTTTCCTAGGACTTTTTTTAAATTTCTTTTAAATTTTTTATAATGTTTTTAAAAATTCAAAATACTTTGAGATTAAAACACAAATTTAAAAAAATAGCATATACTCCATCTATCTCAAATTAAACATTTTAACTTGTTGTTTTCTAGAATGATGTTTTTGGTAAGTTCAAAAGAAAATAAAAAATAAAAAGATAGAAATATGGAAAAACAAAAAAAAATTGAAACATCTAAAAAAAGAGTTATACAAAATGATTTTTCAAAACACCTAAAAAAGTGTTTAGAATTGGGATGTCCAATAAGGATATTAATTTTTACTCGGTATTTTTTTATTTCTTATTTTATTCCTCGTTTTTTGAAGTTCTCAAAATAAGTTTTTGATTTTATATTTTAAAAACCAAAAAATAATAATTGTTAATTTGAGACATATAGATATAGCATATGTTATTTTTTTTTTCAAACAAAAATAATTTTAAACTTTAAGAACATTATAAAAATAATTTAAAAAAGAAATTTTAAAAACTTTGATTAATAAAAGAAATTAAAATGGAAAAAAACAAAAAATAAATAAAAAATAAGAAATAAGCAGGAGTGTCCCCTATCATTTAGTTAATGAAAGGCTAGAATTAGCCCACCACAGCTCAGGTCATGTTCTTTTCACCTCATCTGATTGATTCTGATCTGATTGAAATAAGTTTTGATTTGATCTGATATAGTTTGATATAAATGTAATTATATTTAAAGTTATTTCTTATATGATTTGAATGTCATTATATTTAAAGTTATTTTTTATCTCATCTGATTCCAATAACAATATGTAATAAGTAAATAAATAAGTTGTGGAGAATATGACCTCAAAAGCATGCTAGCAGGTAAAGATATAAAACTTGGAGTACTCTCTCAGACTCTTTCTTCACATGGATCAGGCTGCATTCCGTTTTCCTAATTTGATTTTATGAAGTTTTGATGTGATTTAGTCTTATCTGATTTGATCTAATCTTATTGGATCTTATCTGATATGAATTTGATTAAAATTAAAACTTTAATTATAATAGTCATAATAATAGTTATAATAATAATAAAACTAATAATAATAATTATTATAATAATAATAGAAATATTGATAATAAAAGCAATAATAATAATAATAGAAATAATAATAATATTAATAATAATTATAATAATAATAATAGTAATAATAAATTCTATAGTACTAATAATAATAGTAACAATTATAATAACAATAGTAATAATAAGTATAGTCATAATAATAGTAGTAATAGTAATAGTAATAGTATCAATAAGAGTAATAGTAATAGTATCAATAATAGTAATAGTAATAGTAATAATAATAATAATAATAATAATAGTAATAGTAAAAGTAATAATAATTTACATACTTTGTTATTCAAAAATCGCGGGAACTTTTTTTTTATTTGTGTGTTTTCATTGACTATTTGATGAAATAAATTATTCTTGTCACTTTTTTCTTGTAGAAATTTTGATATACTTTTTAAAGATGTAAATTTTATTTTTTTATTTATATATTAATCTTTAAATAAAATAAATTGTTTTATGGTATGTTTGGGAACATGCACGGATTTCAAATCTGAAGTTGGCTCAAATTTTATGTTTGAGAAACTTAAAAATTTTGAATTTGACTCAAATTTTTCTCATTCATAACAAAGCTTAATTTGAAATCCATACTGATGGATACCCGGGAATGGGGGTATCCAGCCCAACAGGAAGACGGCCCAGCCCAACTTCGCTAAGGCCCACTTGGCGGAACCAAAGCAAAGGACCAGAGAAGACCACCTCGGCAGCGGTGCGCGCTCGGCCCCGGCGGGGTCGGTCATCCTCGGGCCACCCCTGGCCGGCCTTCCACAAAGGGACTTCCGAAGACAGGTAATGCGCTCGGCCTCGGCCCTGGGCAACGGCAGACCAGACCTGAACAAGGGAGCTGACTGAAGTTAGGATCAAGGGGCCCACGATTTGACTCCTGCCATGCCTCTGGCGGAGTTGCTATAGCCACCATACTTGTAACCTACTTTATATAGCAGTCCTAGGGTTAATTATGCGGTTAGACGCCGCTAGTGAACAACCCAATCTTGGTGGGCCCGGACCGTTGGATTACAGACCAACGGTCGGAACCCTAGCTGTAATCTGTATATAAACTCTTCCCTTCTAAGGGAAGGGGGGGAATTTCATATTCTAAGATATACTCGAACTAGCATAATATTACTCTCAGTTTACTTGACTCCATATTTTGGGCATTCTCGACTTAGTTCGATACTCTTCCGCCTAGTTACCTAGGCCCCCGGGTTCCATAACCCAACACATATACTTCTTCTTGTCATTTAAAATTCAATATTTCAAATTTTGAAATTGAAATACATAAATTGAAATAAAAAGCTAAGCTATTGCTGGAGGAGGTATAATAAAACAAAACAAAAAAGAGCACAGTAAAAACTAAAAAGCAAATTTTAAAATGGCTGTAATTTTGGACACACTCGCTGTCACAGCGGTGATACTTGCGAGGGCGGAGGTTGGACGACGCCACTTCTCATGAATTCGCTGCTGAATTTCTTCCGAATCCTTTGCTTTCTTCCGTTTTCTCAGGCTTTTTTGGCTCTTATAAGTAAAGGCAAGGTGTCACCTTTCCCACTCACTTCTTCTGCTCCTCTGCTTATCCCTTTCAAGGTCCTTTTCTTCTTCTTCCTCTTCTGCTGATTAGATTAGCTTCCTCCTTTCATATTTCGCATTGGGTTTGTCTCAATTCTTCTTGATTACGTCTTTTTTCCTCTGGGCTATGCCATCTTTGTCCTGATCAAGTAATTCTTCTTCTTGATTTTACTACATCCCAAGATTTGTTGATTTTTTCTGTGTCTGAAATTCCAGTCTAATTGATCGCACATGCATAGTGGAATTATGTGTCTGTACTGTTTTTGAGCTTTGATTTGATTATTGATTTCACAATTGGACAGTTTTGATCCTCTCAGTAGATTTTTATGGTGCATTGGATTGGATGTAAGGGTGTCATTTCATTCCCAAATCTTGAATGTGCTGTTTGTGAGGTTTTGTTTTTTTAAAAATGGAAGATTCAGTCTTTCTGAAACACTGTTCCTTTGCAGAAAAAGAAATTCACACACACCCAAGAGTCCAAAGTGATAAGCTTTTATACTGAACTTATCTAAAATTATGTTCTTGATAATAATTGATGATATTTTATTTTATTTTATTTTAAGTGCTTATCACTTAGTACAAGATTGTGTGGAGGTCCATATGAAAATTTAAGTTTTTTTAACCAGTTATTGGATGGAATCATGGAATTATAGTTCATGAGTAAACCATAAGGGGTATAAAGACTAACAAGTCCACTATATCTCACTCTAATAAGGGGTATAAAGACTAGACTGAAACCACACAGACATAGCATTTTCCTACGTACGGTTTGCAAATGCGTCCTATCATTTTTATATAAACCTAACAACATGATTAAATGTGTCCAAATCATTATAGTTGATGAGGGACTAATCTTGTCCAATTTTGAGCTAGTTAACATATGTGGTTTTGTTGATTATTGTGGAAATTCACTCTTTACTATCTGTTTTGACAGGTAGAAGCTATGTGTCAAAGAACCGACTCAACGAAAATTTCACTTTTGTAGCGAGTGGCACAAGAAAGGTTTTTTTATACTCCGACACTTCTCTCGCGTGCAAACAAGATTTGGTTTTACACAAACATTGCATGTGAACATTAACTTTTTAAACCTAGGTGATGATGAGATTTGAACCCGTGGCCTATGGTCAACAAGCTGGCTTTGATACCGTGTTAAGGAACCAACTCAACCAAAAGCTCAAACTTGTTATTAGAGACCCAAGAAAGGTTTTTACACTTCCCTAACATTAAGTATTTATAGCACACAACTCAAAACTGGTTTGGGGTAAGGAATTACTCTATTGATTTCTTGCTACAAAATGGTGCATTTGGATGGTATTTAACAGCTCTTAGTATGCTGATTAATCACCATTTCTGTTTGTTTTGTGTTCATGCATGAATTCTTAAATCTCACTGCAGGATAACAGTATTCAATTTCACGCTCTTCCATTTAAGACAAGACATTCATCCTTGCCTAAGTCCCTATATCTCTACTCTTCATCAAAATGAACATCCCACAGCAAGCCGGAAATGAAGTAAGCAAAAAGCCTAATTAAGCAGATTCATTTTAATAAGTGTTAAAATCTTATTTATGTGTTTAGATTTCTTAGTATCTATCCGAACGGATGTGTGTGATATATGCATGCAGGACGAACCAACTGTCCCTGGGTTTGAAACCCCACCATCACCTGACTCTAGCTACAACAATGTCTTCTACACCACAGAAGAAGAGGAAGAGCGGGGACCACCACGGCTTCCTCCACATCTAGAGACGAGCGTGCTAAACCAAATAAGCACTAGAGATGTGGTCTTATCTCCCCTCCAACCACCCAACCATGTGGTCTTAAACCACGTGTACACGGACGCCCAAAGCAGAGCTTTTCCTCTGGAAGCCGTCGCGGTGTCAACAACGCAACGGTTTCGCTCCAAATATGTTACGGTTGTGCTTTACAAACCGGCCCCACGGACGTGAAGTGGCAGCCGCAGCACCTCAGATGCATTTGGTGTGAATATAGGATGTAGTTATGTTTGTGATTCATTTTGTTAGTTGATATATAGCATATGATGAAATTACTCTTATGACATTAGTATGTTATATAAATTTTTGGGTGGATAGGCACTTCTGTTTTTTTGGTAAAATTAAATGGATGGTTCAATTTATTATTCACAAAAGTGTACAACATTTTTTTATTGGAGTAAATAAATGGTTTGATTTATTATTCACAAATGTGTATGACATTTTTTTAATTACTAGAGTACGAAAGTTTCACGACTAGCAAAAATATAGATTTTCAGTTTTGCTGGGAAACTCGAGACGAATGAGATTGTAGTGTTGTTAGTATATTGGGGCTATTGTTGCCAGTAGTTCAGGAGTTCAAAAAGTCAGTAACTGAGTCTCCAACATAACATAGAAAAATCACAGAAAAACATTACATTACATTCCCAAGTAATGCTGTGTAGTACATGAACTTATATAGCCTACCTGTGAAAACAAGAGTTGAGCTTTTTATCCAAGAACTGAAAATAGGCAATCCTCCAGGATGTGACAGCAATAAAAAAGACACAAACACCCCACAGTCCCACTGCAAATCCTATAGCCATGCTCACATAAAACCAGTCCACTTCCCAACCATCATCATCTCCTCCCCTGTTTTCATCATCATTGAGAGTTTCACCACTGCAGTTTTGTGAGATACACAGGTTGTTGCCAATGTAACTGGAAACATCAAAACCTTGAAGCTGAGTGCCCGAAGGTACCCTACCAGATAGATCGTTATATGACAAATTCAAAACACCCAAACAGTTCAAACTGGAGAAGGCTGCTGGGATTTCACCGGAAAGACGATTGTCAGAGAGATCAAGGGATTCTAATGACTTCATCTTTCCCATTTCCTTGGGGATACTTCCCGCCAAGTTGTTTCTTGACAGACTTAAGGATATCAATGCCACCAACTGGGATAGTTCGATTGGAATGTGTCCAGTAAAGTTGTTGCTTGAAAGATCCATGCTAGCTAACAACCGTAAATTGGTATTAAACGGGAGCAATTTTGCAAAGATGAAGGCATATGACTAGAGAGTAGGTTCTTGTGCAAGTCAAAAGATTGCAAGTTATTTAAAAGCCCAATCGAATCCGGAATACTTCCAATCAATTTGTTAGCATTCATATTTATGACTCTCAACAATTTGTGGCCAATGCATCCAACAATTTGGAATTTCTCCTGACAAGTCATTCATTCCCAGATGAAGTATCTTGAGGATGTTTGACGCATTCTGTGGATGACATAAAAAATCAGAGACATCTCCTGAGAATGAATTGTTTGACAGGTCCACTTCAGTTTTTTTTGTTGAACACTTCTCTGGTTTTATTTTAGTGGGAAATTTAAATACTATAAGCAACGAATGCTTTGAGCTTATGTATACTATACTACTACTGGTATTATATATGGCCGTCGAGTTGGAACAATTTTCCCCTGAAACTAAACGTATTAATTGCCCATGGGAAAAGAGCCGGCCTGAAATTCTCTGCAAATCGCTGAAGAAGGAAATGCGAATCGCTCTCCATGTCCATCTCTCTAGTCGTAAACATTTCACACCCCGCATCGCAACCATGGCGGCTTTCTCTAGTCGTGAGGCTTTTAGGCGTTGGATTTTGCAGCGATGGACAAATTTCCAGTGCTTCACACGTATACATTTTAAATTTTTAATATTTTATTTTTTTCATTAGATAAAATAATATAGTTATATCACTTTTACTTTGTAGAACTTTTGATATAGTCTTAAATATATTAGTTTATTTTAAAATTTTACACTTAATCAAACGAATTAAATTAAAAATAATTTCAGTCAAATCTTTTTAATTGAAAAGTTAATTTTAAGACGGATGGTGAATAATAAAATAAATCTAAAGTTTTGAAATATATATTATATAGTTAATAAATTTGCATATGTGATAAATTAATGTACTGGGTAATTGTTTTTCAGATGTAATAAAATATAAATTTTGGATAGTTTAAAGTGAAATTTGCACTAAATAAGACTAAAACATAATGACTTTTCCAATGTAGGACTTAAACTTTTTTATTTTTTAAATAGGACTTAATAATGACCTAGTGGGAGGAATAATGTCCAGTAATGATGGACATTTAGTTGAATAATGACTACTTGATAATGACCAAAAGTCCTACATTGAGAAATAAAAACATATGGTCCTATATTGAGAAAGTCATTATGTTTTAGTCCTATTTAAGTAAATTTCTCTAGTTTAAAAACTGCTCCGTATATATACTAGGTTGATTTTTTATTTAATAAATTTTATATAATTATTTAAAATAATGATATGATGATGCATATATTCAAGTAATGAAAAAGTTCACAAATAGTAAGTCTGTGAACTTTTTGTAAAAAGTTCACAAATAATAAGTTTGTGAAATTTGTGACCATTATATTTGTAAACTAATCATTTTTCTTATAACAATAATGATCATTTAATGTTAGAAAGTGAAAGGTTTATAAAAATTTAGTAATAATAATAATGGTTATTTTTATACTTTTAAATATTTATTAAACAACTATAAAAAATAAAACGTATACAAACATTTTAAATTAACGAAATTAGTTTTCGCATTTTAAAATATGTTACAGTGATGAAAATATAATAAAAAGAATTAAAAATTACTCCGTATTATTAGAGTTAGAAAGTGAAAGTTTATAAAATGAAAGGGTTTATAAAATATAATAAAAATAGTGATTATTTAATGTGGCATTATTATTAAAGTTAGAAAATGAAGTATAATAACTAATATGCACGCATGGTAATACCAAGTGGCATGACACGTGTTACAAATGACATAAATAATAGATACATCATTCGGGTATTCATAAAAGTTGCAGTGCGATAATTTTTGAAAATTAGTTTAAAAATAAGTTTACTCCATCTATCCATAAAAGAATTACCTCTTTACTACTACGGTCTCTCGATAATTTTTGTTTATTTGCAAATTTTCATTAATTCTTTGACGAAATAAAATATTTTTGTCATCTCTTGCTTTGTAGAGTTTTTTTAATATAGTTTTTAAATATAAAATTTTTATTTTTTTACCAATTTGTAAATAAAATTATTTCAAAGTAACAAAATTTTGCACGTTGATCAAAGAATATAATTCTTTTAGGGACGGAGGTAGTACCATTTTTACTTATACAGAGGTAATGTCGTTTATTGTTTTTTTTAAAATGTTTGTTTGAGATATTTCCGCTATTCCTAAAAGATCTTCCTGTTTACTATTTCGGTCTCTCGATAACTCTTATTTCTTTCCATATCTTCATTGATCGATTGATAAAATAAAATATTTATGTCACCTCTTATTTTATAGAGTTTTTGATATAGTTTTTAAATATAAATATTTATTTTTTATTCATTTACCAATTTATAAATAAAATAATTTTAAAAGACATGAGACTTTGCAGGTTGGTCAAAGAAAGAAATTCTTTTAAAGAAAGAGGGAGTACAATTTATCTCATACTCATTTCGTCCCAAAAAATTGTTTCCCTTTAAACATTTATACCCGAGTAGAATATAAGAGAAAGATATTTTTTGTTTTGACTTTTTCAAATTATCCTTGATATGGTGGGTAAAAATAAGATATGGCAATGAAATTAATAGTAAATAGATATAGATAATATGATAAATAAGGTAAAAATTAACAAGAGTGAAAATAATTGTTTTAATACCGCAGTAGATAATAGAAAAACTTTGGTAAAAATCTTTTAGGCAGGAACTGAAGGAAGTATTATCCATTTTTTGTTCTCCCTCCGTTCTCAAAAACACTTCCTCTTTCATTTTTTCCATTTCCAACAAAACACTTCCACTTTCTATTAAAAAACCACTTTTACTCTTATTTTATCATATCCTACCTATCACATCATACTTTTTCTCCAATAACCTATCCATTACATCTTACTCCGTATTTTTTATCCATCACATCATAAGCAAAATTGGAAGTCAACTAGAATTTTACACTTCTTATTTTTACACTTGGTCAAAATAATAACTTTTTTTGAGAACGGAGTGAGTAAAAGAAAAATTTTGAAATCTAGAGACACTTCGTAACATTACTTTAAATGTGTTATGCGAACTCATTATTTCAAATATCATATCAGCCAAATTAGTTTAACATAACTAAAAAAGCTCGAAGTTAGACCGGTCAGATTAGAATAGCAATGTGAAATCTAATGATTTTTTGAAGTATTAACGTGTAAAAAACTACTTTATAGTAATACTGAGTATTGTATAATTAGAAAAATTTGAAATATTGGTGTCAATTTTTTTCTTAAAAAGTACTTCCTTCGTTCATTTTTCTTCTCATTTCGAACAAAGTGCTAATTCTCATTTTTTAAAACTACTTTATTGATATAAATCACTACACCATTAGGAGTACAAATTACATTGTTCAAATTTATATTAAAAGTTTTACAAAATATGATCTAACAAGAATATTTTATCTTATTAAATGATTAATGAATACATGCAAACAAACACAAGTTATTGAGAGACTACAATAATAAAAGAAATGAACGGAGAGAATACTAAAAAAAGATAAACCCATCTTGGAGGGTTCATCAGAACCGACCATAAAATTATGATAAATTAAATTTTAGTTATAGATTAATGACAAAAAGTGAGGCCTAGACCTTGTATCTGCAGAGTAGGCCAAAGCTTCAATGGATTTAAAAAATGCACGAGTAAATACAAAACAAAAAGTTAAAAAGCAATCGTGAAATTGAACACCCCTCCCAAATCCCAATCGCACACACAGATTTGGGTGAAGCTATCGGCTTCAAAGCAAAGAAGGGCACGAGATGGAGCTGATCTCAGATGGAGTTGGGCATCAACCCTCGCGGGTTGTGCTTTGCCTTCTTCACCTTTTCTGCGTACGTTTCTTGTTTTTATTTTATGCACGCTTTAACGCCTCTTCACCCCTCCTCAATATCCTGCTTATTTTCTTCTCGGTCCTCTGCTTTCCCCCGTTTTCTCAGGCTTTTTCGGCCTTTATAAGCAAGGGAAGGTGGCTACTTCCTCACTCACTTCCTCTGCTCCACTGTTTTACCCTTTCAAGGTCCCTTTCTTCTTCTTCTTCTTCTTCTTCTTCTTCTTCTTTTGATGATGATGATGATGATTAGATTTGCTGCTTTTTTTCTTTGTTTAAATATCCAGTCTAATTGTTTGAGCTTGAACTTTAATTTGATTATTGGCTTCACAATTGGACATTTTTGGTCTAGTCATTTGGTTTTTTTAAGGCACATTAGATGGAGGGTGTCATTTCACTCTGAAATTTTTTAAGTTCTATTTTTAAGAAATTTTACTATGGAAGATTCAATCTTGCTAAAAAACAGTGAGTTCTTTTTTTTTTTAATCCAGAGAAAAGAAATTCACACACACCCAATAGTGATCAATAGTGAGCTTGTCTAAACTTATGTCATTGCTTAAAAATGGTGATAGTTTTTGATTTTTAGTGGCTACCAGTTAGTAGAAGATTTTATACAGGTCCATATGAAAATTTTAAGTTTTTTTCCCCACCCTGTTATTGGATGAAATTGTAGTTTCTAAGTAAACAAAACCAAACAAATCCACTCTATCTCACTCTAAGAAGTAAAAAGACTAAACTAAAATAAGTTAAAACCACACACACACCATTTTCATAAGTATGGTTTTCAAACGCTTCCTACCATTTTGGCATTTTCCATATAAATTTAACAACAAGAAATCTAAATATTGTTTTTATATTTATGAAGTTCATTTCAGGGCTTCTTCACACTTTAATGCTTCTTAACCCTTGAATTGCCTGCTCTACTTCTTATCAATCTTTTGCTTTCCTCTGTTTTCTTAGGCCTTGTTGTCCCTTATAAGTAAGGGAAGGTGGCTACTTCCTAACTCACTTCTTCTGCTCCTTTGTTTTACGCTTTCAAAGTTCATTTCTTCTTCTTCTTCTTCTTCTAATTCAACCAAAGCTCAAGTTTGTGATTGAAGGCCCAAAGAAAAGTTTTTTTACTCTAATACGTCCCTCATGCCCTAGAGGAATCTGTTTTTTACCCAAGCCTTACACTTGAACATTATTTTTTAAAGTCTAAGTGACAATGAAATTTGAATCCTTGACCTTTGGGTCAAGAAGGTTGTGATGCCATGTTAAGAAACTAACTCAACCAAAAGTTCAATATTGTATTTAGAGAGGCTCAAGAAAGGATTTTATACTTAGTCTTAGATCTAACACGAAGTATTGAGCATATGGCTTGATATGGTTTTGGGTAAAGAAGTATGCTATTGATTTTGTGCTACATAATAGTGCATTTGCATTGTATTTAACATCCAAATTTAGAAAAGAAAAGATAATACATTCGGTATGTTTCCCACGATCACCACGTATCGCTAACACTTGACACTTGAGATTAACGTTGTGGAAACGTGTCTGTTTAATATTTTGCATGTATGGGGTTGAATTATTCATTAGTGTTGCTCACACATTCTATAAATACCAGTGTTTTTCTTCAAACGGATATCAAAGTATTTCGGGAAGGATAATAAAAAAGGAAACTCATTGAAGACTTAGTTTGAAGAAGAAGATCATCAATTCTTACTATGTTGATTGATCACCATTTGCGTGTTTTTTTTTTAATTTCTTCCCAATTGCAGAAAGTATGCTAGGCATTGTTCTTGACTGAACTTTGGTGTGCATCTGTGGATTGTACATTTGTTGGCTTTTAAGTTATGATTATATTTTTTTAAGCTATTGTTCGTGCACATATTCTTAAATTATATTGCAGGACAACAATATCTGTTTTCAAGCACTTCTTATATCTCTAGTCTTCATAAAAATGAACAACCAACAGCAAGCTGGAAACGAAGTAAGTAGAAAATCTAATTAAGCGTATCCAAATGCTCAAGAAAGGTTTAGCGAATGCCATGTTTTATTCCAATCATGCCCTTTACATGAGGGCTTCTAAGCTATCTTCACCAAATAAATCTGAATGAATGTACGTTATATGTTATATGTGTGCAGTACGAACCAATTGTCCCGGGATTCGAGACCCCGCCATCACCCGACTCTAGCTACAACAATGTGTTCTTCATCACTGAAGAAGAGGAAAAGCGGGGCCCACCGCGGCTCCCCCCACATCTAAACAAGTTCGTGCTGAACGAAATAAGCACGAAAGAGGGAGAGGCCTCATCCTCATCACCACCCAACCCTGTGGTGTTAAACCACATGTACACCGATGCTTATACCAGGGGCAGAAAATTTCCCCTGGAAGCCGTGGCGGTGTCAACCACGCAGCGCCTTGGCTCCCAATATGTCACAGCTGTGCTTTACAAACCAGCGCCGCGGAGGTGAAGTGTGGCTGATTAGTGGCGGCTGTGCTTTTTTTTATTTTTAAATTTGGAATAGTTAGGGTCACATTTATATATTTTCTTGTAAATTTATAATTCAATAGAGAAATAAATAAATGTTTGAACTTATAAATGATGTTTTCCTTCTTTTTTAAGTGCAATTCATTCGATTACAATGTACCAGCTGTTCATATTTTTTATTCAACTTAATGACGCACAATGAGTTAGTGCATATCCCTTCGTTGAGACTCGAACTTGGTGAACTTCCCCATCATATTTGTTGTTGTAGTAGAACGACATATTACGGCCGAATTATAGATATATAATCACTGAGCTTATGCAAAGTGTAGAAAACAGATTTTATTCTGAAGTTATAAATTGTTGTTAATAATACAAACTATGGAGTAATTTTTTTAATACTGGGAGCAGAGAGAATGCTAATGTACCATAGAATCATCAGAAGAGAAATGACAACCTTTTGGTGCACACCAATGTTCTAAAAATTAAACTGGACATCAACCTATACCAAAGAGTGAGTCAAGGGTTAATTAGTTGAACCGATCAACTCGAATTAGTGAGCCGGTGAACTATAACTAAAACAAAAATACTTTATATTATGCCGAGGAACTATAACTAAACCAAAATTATTTGATATTGCTAGATACTTTTAATTAATAACAATATTTTGATGCCATTTTGCATACACTTTTACACTCTTTTTCACTTTTTTATTTTTATTATTATTAAAGAATAACCTTAAATGTCCAACAAATACTGAAATAGTAATTATAGTTAGTTGATTGAAAAGAGAAAAAATATAGAAGATAAAAAATCAATTCTGACATACTACGTATTACTCCGTAAGTTATGATTAGTATGACTAATATTTCTTGATTTATATAGATGACAATATCATAAATATTATTATGATAATTGATATTGTTTATATCATAATAATATAAAATATTATTATTTACTTTTAGATAGAAGATAAATAATGTTCATTTCTTTTTTCTTTAAACTATTTTTAAAAATTCATAAAATAAGTATACTAGACAAAAATGGTTCTTTTTCTAAATAGTTGAAACTTGAAAGTTTTTTTGAAACCCACATAGTTCATTACTCCCTTTGTCCCGAAATTGAATGCAATTCTTTTCTCTCGCTCACCTCTTGATAACTCTTATATATTTTTCTCTTTTTATTAATTATTTGAAAAAATAAAATTACTGTGTCATCTCTTATTTTGTGAACGTTTGATTTAAAAATATACACGTGGTTTGACATTTTGCATAACTCGTGAAATTTGGAAGCATTGATTTTAGTTTTTGTTCTCACAAAAAAGTAAAAGATACTCCATATTGAGGTGAAAGCTTCAAACAATTGGTCTTGTTTGAAACAACGTTTTCAATTAGCATTAAAGTTTTGAATAAAATTTTAATAATGTACATTAATTCGAAAAATACTAATGCAAGATCGTCATATAACCCACGCTAGCTCAAACTTCCAAGAATACCAAATTCATACTTTATTTAAAAAGACATGGAGTCAATATTGTGTTTTCCCGCCCAAAGAGTATGGCCATTACATATGGTAATGTGAAGTTAAAATGGTAAGTGCCGAAATTATAGTAATATAAAATTTACGTTTTATAAGTATAATTATTATATTATATTTAATATAATATCAAGAAAAGTAATAACCAAGAAAGGTAATAATTAACTGTTATTTTTAAAGTGTTCAAAATTATACTAGCAAGAAAGGTTATAATAAAAAAGGTAAAAATTGACCACGGTATTAATTATATAACCGTGTGACTACATAATTGTATATTAATTACCGTATCAAATTAATTATAGTAATTTTAATTATAATCATCTTATAATAGTAATTTTATAATGGCTATATTTTGCTATAATTTAATTATAGTAATGTTAATAAAAAAAGGTAATAATTAACCAATGTATTAATTATATAACAGTGTGACTAGATAATTGTATACTCCGTATTAATTACAGTGTCATTTTAATTATAGTAATTTTAATTATAGTAATTTTAAATATAATAAATTAAATAATTTAAATATAGTAATAGTAATTTAAATGTGTTATGGCACTTTGAAAAATGAATAATTTTTTTAACCCCGTATGCAAAAATCATATTATAAATACATCCATTACAAAGCTTTAATAGTCATTACATTCATCGTGAATTTTTTCCCCTACGTTTCAAAACTGTCATTCCTACAAAAAATAGAGATCTTAACTGCTTTGAAAAATGTTTATGAGCAGTCATCAATGTTAAGGATGAAGCTACGAGCAATTAGGATTTATCACAAGTTTCTGTAACAATAATCCAACATGTTTAATTTTAGTCATGGACACCTATGTTGCAGTTTCAAAAGTAAATAATGGATTGAAGATTCTGATATGCAATGAAGACAATATTCCCACAAATTGTACAAATAATGTATTTTATAAACAAGTCTTTTGAAAATTGTAAAGCAATGATAGTTTTGTATTTTAAATAATATAATCTCTATATTCTAATTATGGTTAAAAAATACTAGTTAATTGCTATCACGAATTCACGATTAGATTTGGGTAATCCATGGTCAGTGATGGAGGTGATCTCAGATGGAGTTTTGGACGGACGCTGCGACTGTCACAGCGGGTGTTAAGTTAGTTGCCAGCGAGGGCGGAGGCTGGACGACGCCTCTTTTCATGAATTCCCTCCTCAATTTCTTCCCGTTCCTTTGCTTTCTTCCGTTTTCTCAGCCTTTCTCGGCCCCTTATAATTAAGCCAGCCAGGAGGCATGGCGGCACCCACTTCCTCACTCACTCCTTGTGCTCCTCCTCTGCTTCACCCTTTCAAGGTCCATTTCTTCTTCTCCTCCTCATTAAATTTGTTGGTTTTTTTCTTGGTTTGAATTAATTTCCAGTTGAATTGATGGCACATGCATGGTGGGATTATGTGTGTGTAGTTTTTTTGAACTTTAGTTTGACCATTGGCTTCCCAATTGGACAGTTTTTGGTGATTTTTTTTATGGTACATTGGATTGGGGTGTCATTTCACTCTGAAATCCTTGAAGTACTGTTTGTAAGGATTTTTTACAATGGAAGATTCAATCTTGCTCAAAAAAACAGTGAGCTTTTTTTTTTAGTTATACAGAAAAAAGAAATTCACACACCCAGGAGTCCAAAGTGATTAATAGTGAACTTGTCTAAACTTATGCTATTTGATTAAAAATGGTGATACTTCTTGTTGATTTTAAGTGGTTACCAGTTAGTACAAGATTTTATACATGCCCATATGAAAATTTCAAGTCCTTTCCTTGCCCTGTTATTGGATGAAATTGTAGTTTCTAAGTAAACAAAACCTAACAAACAAACAAACAAACACACACACACACCATTTTCATCAAGTCTGGTTTGCATATGCTTTTAACAAGTTTCCATCTAAATCTATAAAAAAAATCTAGCAATATGATTTTAGAGTGAAAATTGGATGCTAGAAAGTATCCCATTCCGATCTAACAACAAAGAAGTCCTGGTCATTATTGTTGATGAGGGACAAATCTTGTCCAACTTTGAGTTGAAGATCAAAACATGAAATTATCTCATTGATATTTATAGTGCATTCGCATTGTATGTAACATCTCAATTTAGAAAAAGAAAGGGTAACAATACGCATTGTCGGTGCGTTGCCCGTGATCACCACGTATAGCTAACACTTGGCACTTGAGATTAACGGTGTAGAAACGTGTCTGTTTAATATTTTGCATGTATGGGGTTAAGTTATTCATTAATATTTCTCACATATTCTATAAAAACCAGTGCTTAAAAAAAGGAAACTCATTGAAGAGTAGTTTTAGAAGAAGACAATCCATTTCTAGTATGTTTGGTTAATCGCCATTTCTGTTTGTTTAGTATTTTCTTTCGAATGTAGTAATTATGCTAGGTGTTGTTCTTGGCTGAACTTATGTGTGAATCTATGCATTGTACATTTCTCCTAAAGTCATGCACACATTCTCAAAATCACATTGCAGAGTAACAGTGTTCATTTTCAGGTTCCTCCATTTAGACAAGCTATTCCTCCCCGGTTAAGTGTCTATCTCTCAACTCCATCAAAATGAACACTCAACAAGATGGAAATGAGGTAATAAGCAGAAAGTCTAATTATGCATATCCAGAGGCTCAAGTAAAGGTTTAGCGAATGAATTCCCTGAACCTTTTCTTGAGCGTTTCCTATGTTTGGAAATCCAAAAATTGGTAAAAAAAATAGACCTGAATGAATGTGTGTGTTATATATGCATGCAGTATGAGCCAACGGTCCCCGGATTTGAGGCCCCACCGTCCCCAGAGTCAAGCTACAACAATGTCTTCTACATCACAGAAGACGAGGAAAAGAAGGGCCCACCCAGGCTTCCTCCCTATCTAAAGAGGAGCGCCCTAAATGAAGTGATGGTGGAAAGAGTTGGAGAGGGCTCATCCCAGTCTGCACCCCACCCGGTGCCCAACCCCGTGGTCCTAAACCACCTGCACACCACTGCTGAAAGCAGAGCATCGCCTTCCGAACCGGTTGCTTTGGCCACAACGCAGCGGTTCCGGTCCAAATATGTCACGGTCGTTCTTTTCAAACCAGCCTCGCATAGGTGAGGTGACCGCTGCGGCGCTTCATCAGATTGGGGTTCGGTTTCAGAGCAGTTTTAAATTGTTGGGTTAGGGATGTAATAGTTAGGGTTATAGTGTTTATTTTCTTGTAAGTTTATAATTCAAGTGAAATATAAACATAAACGTTTCAGCTTTGACATGATTCTTTCCTTCTTTTTGGTGTCATTTTTACCATTACTCCGTATATTTGTTGTTGTAGAACAACTAATTACAGCTGATTTACAATGAAAAACATGAAATTTGTTCTGAATTTATAAAATATTCGGAATATTACAAATAAAATTTTTAATATCCGAAAAGAGAGTATGCTAATGTCCCATAAGAATAAATGTTTCTTGATAATCCATGCCATATCTTACACCCCCATAGGTCTCTAATTTCACGGAACTAGAAGTAATACCCATTTCTTCTAGTGTAGACAAAGGCATAAACATGAATTTTTTTCCATACATAGGCGAAAGATAATCTTAAATATGTGGATTTGATTATAGGTAATTGTACAAATCAATTCAACAAAAAATGTATAAAATGTTCAAAACCAAAAAAGTCAATTCAAGCAAAGTTGACCACAACCTAGCTCGAGGCACGGTTTAATTTTCTGCACAATCCTCCCACTTTGCCCCTTCAAACGGAGATTTCCCAAACTGATGGCACCTATTCATCCAATGTATTGGAGAGAAATTTGGCTCTTACTGCGATAGACCGTTCGTGTTGCCCACTTCCAGAGCACGAACTACACAAACGGGATGCATTGCATTTCTTGCAGTAGCTCCACTTCTTGGGTAGCCTGTATGCAGTATAGATGGGTTATAGTACATACTTTTGGGAAAGAAGTACTTATATATATATATGAGAATATGACATTGATATACCCTGCTGTATATCTGGTGGCATCATTCTTTGCTGTCATTCTTGCCTTTTCGGCACTTTCCTCAGACAGCTTTTTCATTATAAACCCTTCCCCTTTGCACTCTGAACAAACACCCGAGCCACCACATGCTTCGCACCTATTTGTTGGGACCTGTCTATGAATGTATTGATAGCTAACATTATGTTTGGTTCAAAGAATTAGGAAGGGAAGGAAAAGAAAATGATCTCTCTCCTTTTCCTTAGCAAAATGAAAGGAATTATGTTTCTCCTCTCAAATTCCTTGAACAAAACATAGTGTAAATGATTTCACTGAGATAATGATGACTTCCTCTACACTTAGAACCAAAATAATGATGGCCTTTTTTTCTCCAATTAAAGAGTAAGATTGTTCACCTCAACATCGTTAGAGGCTTTGGTTCTTCTCGCAAGAAGAGTAGCGGCAGTCCCAACGACTGTGGCAGCAACTGCAAATGTTGCTACTGTTTCCGGTAATGCAGAGGCGATTTTGAGTTCTTTCCAGGCATGGGAATGCGACTTCTTATCATAATGGAAACCAATACTTTTATTGAATGAGTAAGAATCACTAAACTTGGATTCCCTAGCTGCAATAGAGTTTTGGTCAAGATCAGCGGCACTAAAAATTTTTTATAACTTGAATGTGGGAAGAGTCGATTCACTTAATTGATGATGAGATCGAATTGGGTTGAACTGAAAGAAAAAGAATTCCCAAAAAATTAATTTGAAACGTCTCAAAAAGGAAAGCGTACAAAGTAATAAGGAACGGAGAAAGTACTTCATCAAAAGCCAAAAGAAAGAAAAATTAGTGTGTCATAATTAACCTAAAACTAAAACAGTGTCACTAATTAATGACTCTTTTAGCTCCATTCTTAGGTGATGCAAGTAAATAAATAGAAACCATGGTAAGTATATGTCCCATAAGGGTAGGTAGTGTGTTTGGAAGAGAGGTTCAGGTGGTGCATACTGTATCCCCTAACCATATTCCTTTCCCCTAACCAAAGACAGTACAGATTAGCATGAAGATCTGTTAAAATTAGTGCCTGAAACAACCAAAAACAAGCTTTTTTGAGCCAATATTTACTTCACACAACAAGGAGGCTCAACCAAACCCATTCTTTTAAAATCATATCAACTATTGGTCTCCATGTACACATCTTTATTGACCAAATGGGGTTTGGTAATTTTCATTTTTTCTGACCAATCAGGTCAAACAACTCCCCTATCTATATGCCCAAACCTTAAAACCTGTGACATAATTAAACATGATTTTTTCATGAATTGTTGAACTGCCAGGAAACTAACCCAACAGCCATGTTAGGCTGTTAAATTTCAAGGAGAAAGGGGGAAAGTTTCAACTTTTTTGGACAGATTTATTCAATTCGATCTAACCACTGAACAAGAATACGAAAATTGCAGGGTTGACATGTATAGATGAAATTTGGAAGAAATAAATAAAGGGGAGTGAAAAGGGTTGATGGCATACAGTCTTACTTGAAGTACAGAAGACGAAGTGGGAAGAATGAGCGTTCAATCTAAGCTCCATTTCTGGCAATTCTGGGATTGCTTTGGCGTTTGAACAAAAGATAAGGGATAGAAGTACTTGTTTTGCCCTACCATTAACAACAAATTTACACTTCTATTAATTAAATTAATTTTTTGACATGGTATTAGAAATTATTGTTGACCACAAATTCGAATTTTATATACCCTCTCCCAATTATGATAAAATAGTTTCTTGGACTTACATCACAAATTTAAAGTTTTGTTTGAGTAAATAGTTTCTTGGATCCTTCCGAAATACCCGAGTGTAGCAAGAATACCCAAACAGAAATAATTTATTCGATCAAAACAGATCACAATTCAAGTAGTAAATACACTCAAGCTCGTACAATGCTGAGTGTATTATCTAATTGATTAGAGTCTATTCACATTGGAAAATAGAAACGAATATAACATGTTGATAAGCTTTTGAGTTGAATTGGTTAAACGATGTAGGATTGAAAGTATAAAGAACATTGCGGAGTAGTGTTGATGAAGAACTCGATAGTATAACGAATCGCGTATAAACGCTTTCGTATCAAAGTTATTTCGGGGTATACGAAATACTTCAATCGGATAAGACGTTAATCAACAACAAGCACTCGAAATCCAACCCTCAATCCATACCACGAAACTCTATTTTATAGAGTCGAAAATTTATTACCGGACATGAACGTTCGCGTAGACGTGTACGTTCGCGCGGAGAAGAAGAGACGCGCGAGAAGAAGATCCTGCCGTTTTGGAGTAAACTTTGACGTTATCCAGTCGTTCGAGTCCTTTATTATTTTGGACTCCGATCACGAAAATCTTAAAGATTTTCATAAAGAAAAAACATCCAAAATAAAAAAGCTCGACCCCAGCCAGCCCCTTGGACCCCGCCAGGGGCCGCCGCCCCCTGGACCCCGCTACCCGGAGCCTACCACCCCCGGACCCCCACTACCCCGGGGGCTGCCGCCACCGGATCCCGCACTGAATTTGTAATATTGTCGAACGAGCGTGCACTCCGCGCCTCCTAAATAGTTTGACAACGTCTATTTAAATTCATGTCTGATCTAAGTAAATCCAATCACACAAAATAAATCGATGACGCTGCAATCGATTGGAATCAACTTTTTAATGCGGTTGAACCCATGTATGTTATAGCCAGTCTAGTGATCCCTACTCAATTTTAAAATTCTATCATGATAAAATTTTGGTAGGTCGAGTATAACAAGAAGATTGTTGAATAAAATTAACCACTTGCATATAAGTTAAAATAGAGTCGAGATCCACTTTCTAACTCAAAAGATTAAGCTTACAGGTAGAGCCTCACCTTTCTATATATGATAGTAGTATTTCGTTACTTTTTCCGATGTAGGAACTCCAACTCCCCTTCAAGTGGTAGTTAACTAGCCTGGCCTAGTTAGCACATGGACAAACGAGTTTAGCATATCAATCTCTTATAGCTAGCCCACACAACGAACAGTGATATCTCAATTTCGTATAGCCAACTCGGCATAAACCATGAACATGTAGCTCATATCGCTAAACCTACATCCAAACAACCAAAATCGTAACCAAACCAAAACCTGCTCCGATACCATGCTAAAATTTCAAGGTAACAGTTGAGAATAACAGGTAGAATATCGGATAAAATTAACCACTTCCATATAAGTATTTCATTGTTTTTTTGGAGGTGGGAACTCCAACACTATATAACATTGGTTAATAAATTTGCATGAGCTGTATGTAAGCATGCATTGCCGCCATAACAACTCACACCCACGCCTTCTCATCACGGGCCTATTTATATGCAAACTCACTTTCCCCTTCCTTATTTACGTGCCCTTCGATCCCTCCCATTATCCCAACCGACCTGCAAATAACTCAACCCATCATAAACAAACAATAGTTCTAATATAATGTCTCCTCATGCAATAAGGTTACAACCATATTGCAAACTCCTCTTTGTGTGGATAATAATTCTCCTGCTTCCATCATCTCCAACCGTGTTCAATCACACTACTGTTGAGGCTCGTGCGATGGCCGAGCCTCAACAGTATCAGTATCATTCAGAAGAACGCGCGGCGAATAAGGCAACGCTGGAGCCTGGTTTGAGGCACGGGAGGATGCCCGCTTTCCATGGGAAGGAAATAAGGGACTGCTTGCCAAAGGGATTCAAGCATGCTTCTGCGCCAAGCCGTTACGTTAACTATCGCATTTTCGGCGCTCTCAATTGCTCTCCACGCCGTCATCATCACGTCATGAAACCTTAACCGATATATCTTCTCGGATCGGTCTGATTTTGGAATAGTTATTTTAATAATCGGTGTGGACGTTTATTATTGTGTTTCATTCCTATCTAGTCTTGTTTTGTTTTTGTTAATCTATTTGTTTGGAGTTGGATAAACTATATATATAAATCCTTATAATAAGTTAATTCTTGTAATTAACATGCTACTCATTAGCTTAATACATTGGCTACCTAGCTATTTGATTGCAAGTTTTGAATAGTTTTCCTTTTTTGAGGGAGCCGTGATTTACTTACATATATTTCTTGTTGATGTGTTTGGGTTTATCAACCAGCTAGTGGAAAGGAATATGAATTAAAATTATTGTGTTTTAAGGTTATACTAATTTTTTAAATTTTTGGTTTTGTTACCAAACGTTACTTTATACGGAGTAATCCTTAATAATGATTTTGATGATAAAATGAACTTGAACAAACATATATGAAAACTTAAATTTATAATTGAGTTGGCCAGATATTATTTTTTTCATGTCACTTTCATTTTCTTGCCTTCTAAATTTCACTTATATATGCGTGTTATGTTTACATCTATTCTTCTTTCTCCAACATTTTTCTATCTACTTTAGTTCCAATTTTAATCGTTAGATAAAATGTGTTCCCAGTGTTTTTGGTCAAAATTAAATGTCACCAGTTCTGCTCAGTTATTTATTTCGCACTCCAATAGTTAAAATATATACATACAAATTTGCTACCCACTCTTTAACAACTTACTCTATGGCCTTAAATGGCTTCAACCTATTATTACGTACCCTTTCTAAACCCCAATCTTTCCTGGCATGTACCACTACTAAGCATTAGCCCTTCCACAGATGTACATTTTTGTTACTATATATAAGCACAAATGTACACTTCGGCACAATTTTTATGTCGTCGAAATCATAGTACACACATCACTTCAACATTAAAAATAATAAACTTAGACTGAGAGAAGCACGACGCAATACCATAAATCAAAACAGTCATAATATACGGAGTAATACGAGTAGTAATATCTTAACAAGAGTTCCCTGAGCGGATAGAATAAACTAAAGTTGAACGAAACGAAAATAACCAAAAGACATGTATTGTAGCAACTTTTTTTTGGGAAAAAAAGGAAACATGGGTCATGCCGAGGAAGAACGTAAATTATATGTAGCCTCAACTATACAAGTCGTCTTCATCGGCTGCAGCATTAGATGTTGCAAAAGGATTGGTGGAGCCAGGTGCTGCAGCAGTCGTACCTGAATCTGCAAACCGGAACTCAGTCCCAAAACCTCTAGACTGCTGCAGAGTCTGAGCAAAAGCTTGGTATTTGCGTATGTCGGCATCACTCACACTCCGGCGCGCGTATTTCATTGACTCTTCGAAATGTGCAGCCTTTATCTCTGCCACTTCATCCACCTCATCCTCTTCCATGGAGTCTGGATTCTCTGCCTTCCTCCTCTCCTTCTCTATATCCTGAAAGGAATTGATTGATAGGAAATGTGAAAATTACATAGAGAAGTACTCAGTTTTAATCCTACTACTATAAGATCATTCCTACTTTTGGTCCCCAACTGTTTTTCTTTTTTTGTGCTTGGCGCTTGAAGAACCAGGGCCAAAGGTGAAAATGACCCAATAGTCATGGTCTCATGGAGGGCAAAAGTGGAATACTTTAAAGTAGAGACACATTATTAGGATCGGACATACTTTCTCAATGTTTTCCCTTATGGCATATTTGCAGGCTCGCTGGCAGATCTCTGTAATATCAGCACCGCTAAAACCTTGAGTGTACTTTGCAAGAGCTCTCAGATCAACGTCCTTAGAGACAGGAGATTTCCTAAGGCAAGCCTTGAAAATCTGGTGGCGCGAGTCTTCATCAGGAAGAGGAATATAAATCAGCTGATCAAGTCGTCCGGGTCGAAGAAGTGCCGGGTCAATTATATCGGGTCGGTTTGTAGCCCCGATTATGAAAACAGTCTTCTTTGCGGTCATGCCATCCATTTCGGTTAAGAGTTGGTTAAGGACTCGATCGGCTGCACCACCAGCATCTCCAACACTGCTTCCTCTCTACAAGCATACCAAGGTGCATTTTTAGTTCTTTGTATTTATCAAACTAATTGCATTGTGATTTGTGAATATTATCCAATTTTATCACTTTGGAAGTACGAAAATGTGAAATAAAGGAGTTCGAGAGGAAAATGCTAAATGGATGAATACCTGTGTAGCAATAGAGTCAAGCTCATCAAAGAAGAGAACACAAGGTGCTGATCCTCTAGCCTTGTCAAAAATTTCACGGACATTAGCCTCGCTCTCTCCAAACCACATGGTGAGCAGTTCAGGCCCTTTAATGCTGATGAAGTTGGCTTGACACTCATTTGCTATTGCCTTAGCAAGCAGTGTTTTCCCACACCCTGGTGGGCCGTAGAAAAGAACACCCTTTGAAGGTGACATGCCAAACTTCTCAAATTTCTCAGGGTGTTCCACTGGATATTGAACAGTCTGCATGATAGGTTTAAGAGATAAGACTATATCCAAAAATCACTGCAAAAGGGGCATTAAAAATTAAAAGAAATAAATGAATATATCTAGGCAGTCACAATTAAATTTGGGACATCACCTCTTGAAGCTCTCTTTTAACATTTTCAAGGCCTCCAATGTCTTCCCAATTAACATTGGGCACTTCAACAACCTGAATGTACATTTAGAGATAAAAGCAGTATAATTGTGTTCTTAAAAGTATATTGATCGTGTCATCACAGTAGAAATAAATCTTAAAAGCAAAAACACTAACAGTCTCGCGCAATGCAGAAGGATTGCTTGTTCCGAGAGCAGTTTGAAAGTGCTCATTTGAAACAGCCATGGAATTCAAAACCTCAGCATCAATGGTTTCATCTTCAAGATCGATAACATCCATCTTCTCTCTGATGCATTGAAGTGCAGCTTCGGTGCAGAGAGCAGCAAGATCGGCACCGACATAGCCATGAGTGTCTTTAGCTATTTTCTCCAGATCAACCTAGCAAAAATAGAGAAAAAAATTGCCAAGATGAATATGTATTTTGTGGGTAAAAACACAAAACAATGTGTGAGAGCCTTACATCTTCAGCTAGCTTCATGTTTTTGGTATGAATGCGAAATACTTCAAGGCGTCCAACTTCATCTGGAACACCAATGTCTATTTCCCTGTCAAATCGACCAAATCTCCTGAGAGCCGGATCAATACTATTAGGACGATTTGTAGCTCCCATAACGATAACATGAGCACGGGATTTCAGGCCATCCATCAGAGTTAAGAGTTGTGAGACAATTCTTCTCTCAACTTCACCATGTGTCTTCTCACGCTTTGGGGCAATCGAATCAATCTCATCAATAAATATGATAGATGGGGCATTCTTTTCAGCCTCTTCAAATGCCTTCCTAAGGTTACTTTCACTCTCTCCGGCTAACTTGGACATAATTTCAGGACCATTGATGCAGAAGAAAAATGCACCAGTTTCATTAGCAACGGCCCTTGCTATAAGTGTCTTACCAGAACCAGGAGGCCCATAAAGCAAAATTCCCTTAGGTGGCTTCACGCCTATTGATTTGAACAGTTGGGGATGCCTCAATGGCAACTCAACCAATTCACGAATTTGAGCCATTTGTTTTCTTACACCGCCAACATCATCATAGCCAACTTCATCAAGTCTGTCTTCGTCCTCCCTCCTCACTGGCTCACCCTCACAGAAGATCTCAGTGTCTGGAGCAACAACACAATATTCACGAGGATCCGTCTCAATGATCTTGAATTCTACACTTCTCATTCCTCCTCTGACAAGAAAATGATCTCCTATCCTAACAGGTCGATATGCCTCCAAAAAGTACGCTGCAGAAAAACACAATAGCCGTTAAAAATTAAATCAAATGAGATGAAACATGTGAAATCAAGAATTAATTCCATATGATTACCCATACAGTTGAAAAAAGAAGGCAGTGAAAAGAATTATTTGCACTTGAACCATGGTACTGATTAATTAGAAAAGTCAACCAGTTTAAAAAAAACTTACGCTTCAAATATGATTCAAAAAGATCTCCAGTGACCCCTTCAATTGTATCATCAATAGGAAGTATGTGCACACGCTTCCCATACTTAACATCTGGACATTGGTGCACAGATACAACATCTCCAAGACGGACCCTCAAATTTGAGCGCACAACTTTGTTCATCCTGATCTTTGGCTCCTCACATGATTCCTCAGCAAGAGCAATAACCACAGTATCTTTCCTTTTCTTTCCCTAGAAAATAAAGTTAGAGAAAACCAGGTTAGGATTGGCCCAATTTAACATGGAATTTACAAAAACAAGAGTCAGACCTAATTCTGTTTCAACTCGTATCACTCAGCATTTTGTTATATATGCCACAAAATCCACATAACCAGGTTAGGATTGGCCCAAAATGCAGGTTAAATTTAGCATAAGGTTAGGACCTTATGGTCGGTAGGGGATCCTTCTACATACATATATAGCCTTGCTGATATCCTTCTACATACATATATAGCCTTGCTAATAGGGTACACTTTGTTCACCGAGCTACCCTTTGTACACACTCATTATATACATAGCACTGACTACTTCCACAATAGAACACTTGAGTTATTGACCATTAGGTCACCATCATACGCACATTCTTTCACCAATAGTATCTCAAGAACCCACACATATATCTCTCATCTTACTAACTAGCTATTGAATTAGATATATTAATACAGAGCACTTGATATCCTAGCCAATAGATCTGCAAATTTTACTATCCTCGGTAAACTCTAACCATCGAAAAATGAAGTGAAAATTTTATTTATTCTCAACAGAAAAGAGCATAGCTCAGGCAATACTAGGTTACCTTAATCAGAATTGTGTCCCCGCGGAAGAGCTGGAGTTTCTCCATGGTGGCAGGGTGTAGAGCAACGACGGAGTTATCATCATTGACCGCCTCGTCAACGACGAGCCTGTTCGGCGACTTCTTCCTCTCCAAAATCGCCGTAGAGAAGTCTTTCTTAGTACTTTTCCTGCAACAAGAGAACGAGAGGAAACCATATCAGGAAATCGCAGCAAACCAGCAATCTCTATGGGGATAACCTAGCGTTTATCGAATAAGAAGACAGACAACAGGTTGAAAGAGAAAGAGCTTACGAGTCAGATGACTCGGCCTGGTGACTCATCTTCGATCTAGATCCAAGAATGAAGACGAGACCTGAATGCGTAAAGACAATGCCGCAGGTAGTTTCTTCGAGGTTTTGTGGAAGCTTTTGAGGTCTCCAATGGGGATATAGGTCTAGGATACCCGGGTTGGGTGATCCGAATTAGGCTACCTTCGGTTCCCAAAATATGTTCTTTTAAATTCTCTCCATTTGATTAGATATCTGATTGGATCTGATCTAATCATATTGGATGAAATGTGATATGATCTGGTGTAATCTGATTGTATCCGATCTGATATAAATTTAATTTAAATTAAAATTATTATTATAATAGTAATAGTAATAGAAATAATTATAAGAATAGTAATAATAATAATAAGAACAGTAATAATAATAGATATATAGTGAAATTTGCATTAAATAGGACTAAAACATAAGTCATTTCTCAATGTATAATAATAATACTAATAATAATAGAAATAATAATAATAGAATAATAATACTAATAATAATATGAAATAATAATAGAAATAATAATAATAATAATAATAATAGAAATATCAATGATAATAGTAATAATAATATTAGTAACAATGATAATACTCCGTAATAATAGTAGTAGTAATAGTAATAGTAATAATTAATAGTAATAATAATAGTAGTAGTAATAGTAATAATAATAGTAATAGCAATAATAATAGTAATAATAATCTTAAAAATAATAATAATAGAAATAATAAAAATATTAATAATAATAATAATAGTAATAATAATAATAATAACAATAGTAATTAATAGTACTAGTAATAATAATAACAATAGTAATAGTAATAATATTGACAGTAACAAGAATAATATTATTAATATTAATAGTAATAAGAATAATATTATTAATATTAATAGTAATAATAATAGTAGTAGTAGTAGTAGTAATAATAATAATAATAATAATAATAATAATAATAATAATAATAATTTTGTTTAGATCTGGTTTGATCTGGTCTGATCTGATCTAATCTAATTGGATGTGATCTGATTAAATAAGAATAAGTAATAAGCAGAAAAAATAAGTTGAATGGAGTGATGCCTTAGTGAATAAATTTCTTATCAACGGTATCAAATGAAGTGATGGAGTTATGTCGACCTTCTCACATTTTTCATGAGCTTGCATTTGGATATTTTTCTTTTTGTAGAAGACCGACTTCTTTTATATGCTATAAAATACACTAATAATTCGTATTATTTTTTCCAATGACTAATGAAAATAGGCATAAATAAATAAAGTTTAACCATATTATAATAATTAGGAAAATGGTTTTAGGACAGATCGGAAGAAATACATTTTAGCATTCTTTCAATCTTTTCTACTACTAACACTATGTTTTGTTCAAGAAATTAGGAAAGAAACAAAAACATAATGATTTTTCTCATTTTTTTCTCACAAATTTGGAAGGAATCGCTTTTACAACGCTCATCGATTATAAAAGGTGAGCTCATCCCTGAGGCCCCAGACCTGGCCACACGGTCAGAGGAGGCAAATTGGACTTTTATTGCAGATTGGTGGCAGGGAGTGCAGCCTGCAAATGATACTTATAAAGACTCTATGCTTAGCATAGTTGCCTTCCAACGCAGTTGCAAAGAATTGAACTCAGGTCTACCCCTTGACACTCCCTGCCTTTGTCAACTGTGTAACGCCCACCGGCACGCTCATCGATTATAATTCCGCCCCAACATGCTGTTCTACTACAACAAAAAAAATGGTAATCCCACTAAAATGAAGGATAAAAAATCAAAAAATCATTTCGAAGTTTAAGCTTTTATTTATTTATCACTTGAATTATAAAATTACATGAAAATAAAAATGTAACCCTAACTATTCCAAACAAACCAAAAAGCACAACTGCCACTAATCAGCCGCCACTTCACCTCCGCGGGGCCGGTTTGTAAAGCACAGTTGTCACATACTGGGAGCCAAGCCGCTGCGTGGTTGACACCGCCACGGCTTCCAGGGGGAATTGTCTGCCCCTGGTATAAGCATCCGTGTACATGTGGTTTAACACCACATGGTTGGGTGGCGTTGATGATGAAGCCTCTCCTCCTCTCGTGCTTATTTCAGTTAGCACAGACTTGTTTAGATGTGGGGGGAGCCGCGGTGGTCCCCGCTTTTCCTCTTCTTCAGTAATGTAGAAGATATTGTTGTAGCTTGACACGGGCGATGGCGGGGTTTCAAACCCCGGGACAATAGGTTCATACTGCATGCATATAAAACACATATATTCATTCAGATCTATTCCCATAAATAACTTCAAGAAAGGTTCACTGAATGACAGAATAATGTTTAGAGAATGGTGAGGATAGCTCACAAACGCTCATGTATAGGGTATGGTGCTACAAAAACATGCCATTCACTAAGCCTTTCATGAGCTTTTCGATATGTTTAATTAGACTTTATGCTTACCTCATTTCCAGTTTGTTGTGGATTATTCATTTTGATGACGAAAAGAGTAGGAATATAAGAAGTGCCTGAAAACAGATATTGTTATCCTGCAATGAGATTTAAGAATATGTGCATGAACAATAGCTTTCAAAATATAATCTTATCTTAAAGCCAAATGTACTATCCACAGACGCACACAAAACTTCACTCAAGAACAATCCCTAGAATACTTGCTACATTTGGAAGAAAGTACAAAACAAACAGAAATAGTGATTAATCAACATACTAAGAATTGATGATCTTCTTCCTTAAACCAACTCTTCAATGAATTCCCTTTTTTAATTATCCTTCCCAAAAGTGTTTGATATCGTTTGAAGAGAAATGCCGGTATTTATAGAATGTGTGAGCACCATTAATGAATAATGTAACCCCAAACATGCAAAATATTAAGCAGACACGTTTCCACACCGTTAATCTCAAGTGCCAAGTGTTAGCTATACGTGGTGATCATGGGCAACACACTGAATGTATTTTCTTTTCTTTTTCTAAACTAAGATGTTAAATACAATGCAAATGCACCATTATGTAGCTCGAAATCAATAGAGTACTTAGCCAAAACCCCATTAAGCCATAAGCTATCAATACTTTGTGCTAGATCTAACACTGTAAAAACTTTCTTGGCCCTCTAGCTACAAGATTGAACTTTTGGTTCAGTTGGATTCTTAATATGACATCGCAGCCTAGTTGACACAAAGGTCAAGGATTCAAATTTCATCGCCACCTAGATTTTAAAAATTAATGTTCAAGTGCAAGGCATGATCAAAAACAAGTTTCTCTAGGACATAAAAGACATAATAGGGCATAAATACCTTTTGTGGGCCTTTAAAAAACATGAGTCTTTGGTTAAGTTGGTTCTTTTACACTTAGCTTCTATCTATTAGAAATTGGTCGTAATAAGTTAATATCCACAATAATTGCCAAAACCACATATGTTAACTACTAGCATTTAGTTATTAAAAGTCACTTGCAAATGATGAAACATTGAATGAAATATCCTTTTGCCACTGAATTCCACTTGCCAAATAAATATAAAATTCATGGGATAATTTCCTTTTTTGATCTTCAACTCAAAATTGGACAAGATCTGTCCCTCATCAACAATAATGACCAGGACTTCTTTGGTGTTAGATCATAATGGGATACTTTCCAGCATCCATTTTTCACTCTAGAATCTTATTGTTAGATAATTATTTTTTCAGATTCAAATGGAAACTCATTGGAAGCATCTGCAAACCAGACTTGATGAAAAAGGTGTGTGTGTGTGTGTTTGTTTGTTTGTTAGGGTTTGTTTACTTAGAAACTACAATTCCGTCCAATAACAGGGCAAGGAAAGGACTTAAAATTTTCATATGGACATGTATAAAATCTTGTGATAACTGGTAACCACTTAAAATCAACAAGAAGTATCACCATTTTTAATCAAATAGCATGAGTTTAGACAAGTTCACTATCAATCACTGTGGACTGCTGGGTGTGTGAATTTCTTTTTTCTGTATAACAAGAAAAAAGGCTCACTGTTTTTTGAGCAAGATTGAATCTTCCATTGTAAAAAAAATCCTTAAAAACAGTACTTTAAAGCTTTCAGAATGAAATGACACGCCAATTCAATGAACCATTAAAAAAAAAATCAAATGACCAGGCCCAAAACTGTCCAATTGGGAAGCCAATGATCAAACTAAAGTTAAAAAATATACTACACACACATTATCCCACCATGCAAGTGCAACCAATTAAACTGGAAATTAATTTAAACCAAGAAAAAAAACCAACAAATTTAATGAGAAGAAGAAGATCGAAGAAGAAATGGACCTTGAAGGGGTTAAGCAGAGGAGGAGCAGAAGGAGTGAGTGAGGAAGTGGGTGCCGCCATGCCTGGCTTAATTATAAGGGGCCGAAAGAGGCTAAGAAAACGGAAGAAAGCAAAGGAATGGGAAGAAAATGAGGAGGGAATTCATGAACTATATATAGGAGTTAATCATGCGATACAAAATTTGAGCTAGTTAATACACTTAATTCCAACATGGTATCAGAGCTGGTTGCTATAGCTCCAAGCAATCACTCCTTATCTTCAATTTTCTCTCTCGCACCATTACGCTTCCCAATTCTTCTCTCCTTATCTAATGGGAATAAAAATAAAATTCTTGATTAACACACTAATTTTAAATATGATAGGTATTAATTATTATAATCGATAAATAATACGGAGTACTATAGAACAAAGATAGAAATAAAAATATAATCTTGATAGTAAATTCTATAATTGGTCTCTAATCATAGGTGATATTCATATTTTGTCTCAAATTCTAAGATTTATATAAATGGTCTTCAATATTTGAAAATAGTTTCGTAAATAGTGATTTAGGACAAGAGTGATGCTTACATGGTTCCAAGGTCAACATTTTAAAATGTAGATCTTATCACATTTTTCATGTGATCCTTAGGACAAATATGACAAAATATTTTTTCCGCATATATTTCCCAACAGACATTATGGAATAGTTTTCAAAAAATGAAAATGATTAATATATAATCCTTAGTTTCTAGGGACTAAATATAAAAAATCGCCTGTAATTAAAGATTGTGTATGCAGTTACTCTATTTCTTGATAATCATATATTTATAATTTAAAAGGAAAAAAACTGAAGTAAGTGTAAAACATATAAAATATATCAAAATCGGAATTCTATATTTTTATTTTCAAAATAAGAGTTAAAATGTATTTATAATGACAATCATGTCAATGTATAATACTAAGATGTGAAATGTATATATATACAATGTGAACTCCTATTTTAAGATAAAAACATGAAACTTCTATTTTTAGTACTATTTCCATGTTTTACTTCTATTTAAGGTGATTATTTGCTTAGTTTAAAATACCAAATGACAACAGAATTTTGAATAGAATACATAAAAATAGTTTTAATGTTTCCTGTGGTTTGGAAAAATAAGAGATACCAAGAAAACAAAATGTTTCTCATTAATTCACCAAAATAGAATGAATTTGATTCTCCATCATCATAGTATTCCCCCATCCCTATTTTGATTATAAAATGTGGATTCCGGGTAAAATTCCACAATTTTTTTTATTTATAAATTGGAACATCAATGAGAAATAAAAATTACATATTAAAAAACTACATAAAAAATTTTACAAAATAAGATGCGACAAGATTATTTTATTTTATCAAATAATCAATGAAAACACTCAAACAAACAAAAATTATCGATCGAGAAGAGAGAAAATAAAATTGTAATCAAAATGAGGACAGAGAAAGCATATTTTTGTCATTCTACTTTTTTCTTTTTCTCTCTAACCAAACAAGAAAAATACATTTTTCATATAATTTTCTCACATGAGATATAATACATGGTAGGATACAATGTCGTCGTTTGATCCATGTCTACCTAATGCAATAAGGCTAGCTTTGGTGTTTTTCTTTTCAAATTCCATCACACAATATGTAACTATTCCAAAAAAATGCTCAGGGCCAGTTTGTGAAGCACAGTAGCCACTAATTGATAGCTTATAGAAGAAATGCTCTGCTTCGCGCCCTACAAAGCATGCTCCTGACGTGGGAGAGCGAGTTCAAGAAATGGGACGCCGAAGACGTCCCGTTCCACAACCTCAATGGTAACTCGCTCTCTGGTGAATGAAGACGTTGCCTGCATCTCCGTCCAGAAAAGACGACCCAAAGACCAAAGGGAAGGACGTAAACCGGCTTTTGAAGATTTATTCCTAGGCAAAAGGGCCCGGGATTCTCGGGAGGTCCACCAAGTTTGGGGGACCCACCGAGTTTGGAGGGAGGAGCGTAGGAAAACCTCCCACCACCAAAGGGAATATATAATAACAACAATTGGGCTTCGATCACGTGCTCCATTTGGAATAGGGCCAAAAATAGTGGGGCGGGAGGGGTTAAGACCACATAGTTGGGTGGCGGGAGACGTGCCAATGAGGATGGTGTCTTGAGATGTGGAGGAAGCCGCAGTGGTCCCTGTTTCTCTTGTTTCTTCTATCACGTGCTCCGGTCCATTTCGAATAGGGCCAAAAAAAGCGGGACGGGAGGCGTGCCGATGAGGATGATGTCTTGAGATGTGGAGGAAGCCGCTTGTTTCTCGTGCTTCTTCTATGATCATACTGCATGCATATAACACACATTCACTCAAACCTTTTTCAAATTTCCAAACATAACCTCAAAAAAAGATTTAGTGATTGACAAAATAATGTTTAGAGAATGTTGAGGCGTTTGATATTGTTTAAAGGAAAATCTTGGTTTTTATAGAAAGTGTGAGCACCATAATGAATAACTAAATATAATTGCATGCAATAAAAATATTAAACGGACACATTTCTAAGCTGTTAAACTCAAGTGCCAAGTCCCTTTCTTTTCTAAATTGAGATGTTACATATACCATGCAAATGCACCATTTTGTAGCAAGTAAATGAAGTAATCAATAGAATAATTCATTATTACCCTAAATCAGTTGTGAGTTGTATGCAATAAATACGTACGTAATGTTAGGGAAGTGTACAAACCTTTCTTGGGTTTCTAGTAACAAAAACTTGAGTTTTTGGTTGAGTTGGTTCCTTGACATGACATCAAAGTCAGCTTGTTAGGGTTCACCATATCATAGGTCACGGGTTCAAATCTCTTTCCGTCACCTACAGGTTTAAAAAGTGAATGTTCGCACATGATATAAGTGTTGGAGTATAGAAAACCTTTTCTTGAACATCTATCTAACTACAAACATGAATTTTTTTTATGGCTTACATTAACACAAAATGTAAGTGTAAACCTTTGGAGTAGAAGTAGATTTATTCTCCCACTTATGTCAGTCTAGTCCTTTTACCCCTTATCACAGTGAGACATAGTGGACTTGTTTGTTTTGGTTTACTCATGAACAACAGTTCCATCCAACAACTGGTTTAAAAAAAGCTTAAAACTTTCATATGAACCTTTATAAAATCTTGTACTAAGTGATAACTGCCAAAAATCATCATCAAGAACATAATTTTAGATAAGTTCAGTATAAAAGTTTATCACTTTGGACTCTTGAGTGTGTGTGAATTTCTTTTTTCCTGCAAAAGAACAGAGTTTCAGAAAGACTGAATCTTCCATTGTAAAAAAAAACCTCACAAACAGCATTTTAAAGATTCAAGGCTTAAATGACACCCCCTTCATCCAGTAAACCATAAAAATGTACTGATGAGAGGATCAAAACTGTCAATTTGTGAAATCAATAATCGAATCAAAGCTCAAAAACATCTGATTCCATCACGCATGTGCAATCGATTTCAGAGACAGAAAGAAAAAAACAAATCTTGGGATGTAAGAAAATCAAGAAGAAGGATTACTTGAATTAATCCAGGGATGGCATAGCCCATAGGAAGATAGACTTGCTGAAGAAGAATTGAGACGAACCCAATGCGAAATATGAAGGGAGAAAGCTAATCTAATCTAATCAGCAGAAGAAGAGAAATTAAAGAAGGAGAAGAAATGGACCCAAAGAAATTGAGGGTTGAGCAGAAGAAGTGAGTGGGGAAGGTGAGGCCTTGCCTTTACTTATAAGGGCCAAAAAAGGCAGAGAAAACGGAAGAAAGCAAAGGATTGGGATGAAATTCCGCAGCGAATTCATGAAAAGTGGCATCGTCCAACCCTCGCCCTTGCTGGCAAGTCACGTAACCCCCGCTTTGACAGAGAGTGCGTCCAAAATCACAGCGATTTAAATTTTGTTGTTTTTTTTAGAAAAATTCTCATCGTTTTCACACAAAACACTCCATTTAACACTTGTATTTCACATAAAATGTTTAAAATATATGGAGTAACAAAAAATAACTTCTACCCGAATAGACTATAAAAATAAATTTATTGTAGCTATTTTAAGTCTGGTAAAAGTATTTCAAGAAATGCGCAAAAAATTAGGGCAGAAGTGTTTTGTAAAACGGATAGAGTACTTCCCTTTGCCATTTCACACTTCAAACTTTATTTTTTTTTTACTATTTTCACCATCATTTGATAATATTTCCTCCATCTAAAAAAAAATTACCTTCTTTGATCAACGTGCAAAACCAAGTGATTTTTAAAATGATTTTATTCACAAATTGGTAAAGAAATAAAAATTTTATATTTAAAAACTCCACAAAAAAGAGGTAACTTAAATATTTTATTGTATTAAATTATCAATGAAAACATGTAAACAAATAAAAGTTATCAAAAGACCGTAATAGTAAAGAGGTAATTCTTTTAGGGATGGAGGGATATAATATAATTACTAGCCCCGTCCCTGAGTATTTGTCTAGTTTTGACTTTTTTCGGTCAACTGTTTTCAACCTTTGACCTATAATTAAATAAAATTTATATTGTATTTTAATTAAATAAAATAATATTTTGAAAATATTTGATATACTAAATCTAATAAAACTCTTTTTGTATCAATATCTAATATCACTTTTATTTAATTTGAGGTCAAAGTTTACCAATTTTGACCAAAAAAGTCAAAAGTGGACAAATACTCAGGGACGGAGAGAGTATGTCACATCTTGTTCTCTTGAAATTTTTTATGTAATTTTTAAATATATAAAATTTATTATTAAATTTTACATTTTTAATCAAATAAATTAAATTAAAAATAAAATTGAGTGAGTATGTTTTTTGGAACTACAACTCCATGGAAAAGTGTAAAATTAAGTTTTAGAAAAAATAAAAGAAATTTTTTTAAAAAATATCAAGAAAATAAATAAATACTCGATAAATTTATAACCTCGCTAAAATAATAATTTTCTTTTATCCCTAGTTACAACTAATGTGATAAATTATTAATCCATCAAGTTTATAAGAGTAAATTTTATATTTGGTCATTTAGAATTCACAATTCTCGGTATTTAGTTCTCTATTATCAAATATTACGATTTGTGATCCTTTGTTTATGGATAATTTTCTACAAATAGTTTTTTGTTTGACCTTTTGTCATGTTGATGTAAAACTAAGAGTTAAAACCATAATTTCACGACTCTAGATTCAGTCTTCATGTCTTATGGTGTAAGCTACACGGATAACACAACAACAATTACTACGATTGTAAACTTAGAATCTCCACTAGCAACGACAACTGTGAACTACAGTTGAAATGGATGGGCGACGACCCCAATGGAAAAATAACACATAAGTAGCGACCTTTGGCATTTGTTATGACATTAAGAATGTAGACCTATGTAAAATTGTAGTTTTAAGTATTTCAACTCTCAATTTAACACCGATATGATGGAAAGTAAAAAAATGTTATTTGTTATGGAGTAAAAGGTATTGATTAAAGAGAAACACATACACAGTTTTTTATAACAGAAGACGAGTTTATTGCACCAATATTTCATGTGACTTGATAAACGTGCATTGTTACCACCATGCTTTCAAAACTTACGTCGTTGTCCCCATATTTCTGATATTTCTACGCCAATGTCTCTATAAAGTAAAATACCCTTCAACTTTTAGGTAAATATTTATGGTGACCCTTGTGGTTTTGGAAATGAGCACTAACGCCCATTTTTTCTTCTTTATTGTTTTTCTTTTTTTCTTCTTTTTTTTCCATAAATGTTTTAAAATTATTTTTTAAAACTATATTTATGATATTTTTAAAAATAAAATAATAAACATATTTATACTCCCTTCATGTGCCTCGAATTAAATATTTTCATTTTTTATAAAAAATATTCTTAATTTTTTGAATCTATTGGACAAAAGAATATAAACTTAAGTGTTTTTGAGATTACTAATTTAAGTGGTGTCACAATTTTACAACTAATTTAATGGTGTAAGATGACCTATTCTCGTTTATTATTATTATTATTATTATTATTATTATTATTATTATTATTATGATTATTATTATTATTATTATTATTATTATTATTATTATTATTATTATTAAAATGAGAGAAAGCATTGTTGCGGTTATGTGTTTTCTGCGGTGAGTCTGACTTCTAAGGGAGGTGTATTCAATTTAGATTTTAAATGATTTTGATAGATTTTTTTAGAATCCATAGATTTTTTAAGTTCATTGGATTGTTTAAAGTTTACACTGAGTTAATTAGATTCTAATGTATTCTATCAAAGGATTTTATAGGATTTACATTTTTCTTTTCTTTTTTTTTTCTTTTCTTTTTTCTTTTTCTTTTTCTTTTCTTTTTTCTCCTCCTTCCCCCAGGAACCCTAGCCACCGCGCCGCTTCTTCCATCCCATTTCCTTCTTTCTATGTTTTCTTTCCTTTTTTTTCTTTTTCTTTTCTTTTCTTTTTTCTCCTCCGTCTTCCTCCCGGCTTTCTTACGGCGAACAAGACGACTTCCTTGGCGATAGGACGACCGCCTCGGCGACGATGGCAACCTCCTCGGCGATAGGATTGCAGCGGCCAACCAGGATCTGCGATAGGATTGCAGCGGCGATAGGACGACCTTCCGTCGGGGTTCCGAGCTCCGGCGACGCAGAATAATAGGGCAGGGACGAGAGAAGATGAAGGACGAGAATAGGAGTAGGCAAAATCTCAGGTCTTTTGATTTGATTTGGAAATTGGATTTGTATTTTTACCCAAGGCATGAAAATCCATCAAAATCCACAATTTTTAAAATCTTTAAAAATTCATCAATTTTTGAATATCATCATACTTAGAAAGATTTTTTAAAGTTTGAATTAAATACACCCAAATTTTAAATGACTTTTTAAATTCTGAATTGAATACCTACGGATTTTCAGAATCCAAAAAAATCTATCAGAATCCGGATTGAATACACCCCCTAAGTATGATACTCTATTGTTATTACCGGAGAGTACTAGCTAGATGGATTCTCCTAAAAACGTCCTTAACGGCTATATTTTTTCTTAAAAAAACATCTTCCAACTAATTTTCTAACAACAAATATGATACGGAGTTCACCTCCACAATAACATCATTTGATCCAGATAGCCAGAATAAGAATTTATTGTCTTTTTTCAAATTCTCTGAATCAAACATAATCCAACCATTCAAAAAAAAACATGCTTGCCACTAAACAACTGTCAGTTCACCTCCACAGGGCCGTCGGCCTAATCAACGTACGGCTTCCATAGGAAATGCAATGCCTCTGGTTAGAGCATCCAGGCGGTTGATTTGTTACAAGCCTAGCCTGGTCATCCCCCTACAAAGCATGCTACTAACATGAGAGAGAGCGAGTTCAAGAAATGGGACGCCGGAGACGTCCCATTCCACAACCTCAACGGCAACTCGCTCTCTAGCGAATGAAGACATCGTCGACATCCCCATCCTGAAAGGACAACCCAAAGGGAAGGGCATAAACCAGCTTCTGAAGGTTTATTCCTGGTCAAAAGGGCCCGGGATTCTCGGGATCACCTACGGCCTCTTCAAAATGATGATGGTTGGAGATGATCGTACAAGGAGGATGACGAAAAGCTCTGGAAGATTCATTCTCTAGGGCTTTTAGTCCTTGACGAGGGACACACGCCGAGGAATGAGGAGAGCAACATCTACAGTACATTGTCGAAGGTCAATACCCCACACCGTATCATCCTCTCCGGCACTCCGTCCCAGAACAACTTCCACGAGCTCCACAACACGCTCTCCCTCGTCCGCCTCGGGTTCAGGGCAGTGGACACCAAGAGTCTGGCGGTGGAAGGAATGTGGGAAAACCTCCCACCAACAAAGGGAATATATAATAACAACAATTGGGCTTCGATCGCGTGCTCCATTTGGAATAGGGCCAAAAATAGTGGGGCGGGAGACGTGCCGATGAGGATGGTGTCTTGAGATGTGGAGGAAGCCGCAGTGGTCCCTGTTTCTCTTGTTTTCTTCTATCACGTGCTCCGATCCATTTCGAATAGGGCCAAAAAAAGCGGGACGGGATGAGGATGATGTCTTGAGATGTGGAGGAAGCCGCCTGTTTCTCGTGCTTCTTCTATGATCATACTGCATGCATATAACACACATTCACTCAAACCTTTTTCAAATTTCCAAACATAACCTCAAGAAAGGTTCAGTGAAGAGAATGGCGAGGATAGCTCACAAACCCTCATGTAGAGATATAGAGACTTAGGTAAGGATGAATATCTTGTCTTAAATGGCTTTCAAAATATGATCATAATTTAAAGCTCAGCCAACATACGACTAAGAATTGATGATCTTCTTATACAATTAAAACCAACTCTTCAATGTGTTCCCTTTTTTTATTATCCTTCCCGAAAGAGTTTGTTATCGTTTGAAGAGAAACACTGGTATCTTTCTATATACAATGGTAAGAGGGTTTTAGGAACAGTATTCCCGCCCATTTGATAAGCTACAGTAGCCACTAAATTTAGACCGCACATTGGATAAAAATATCTGGTGAAGCTTCCTGCATACTCATGTGATAAGAGAAAGAGTATGGGAGAAGCTAAGCCGCTGGGTATTTCCGTCAGATCCGGCCACCTTCTTGCGTACACATCTCGAGAGAGAGAGAGAGGAAGCGTATGAACATAGTTTTCCGTCAGATCCACCTGTTCTTTCTTCTCTTTTCGCAGCCACTTCACCGTCTTCGATCATACAAGGGCGAAGCCATGCACCGTCGACGATCGCCATCCAATTCCAATCAGCACATCGCCGTAGCTGGAGAGAGAGCACGCCGGCGTAGGTAAGTAGCCTAGCCGCTGATTGAATGTTTTTTTCTTTCTAATTTTGAAGTTCCGATAATAATAGTTTTACCATTATCCAACTAATTCCAATTAGCAATTCTTTTTCTTTCAACTTCCTGATATGCAGATCTGACACCCATTACATTTGAATGCCATCATCAGAAGAAGGGGGTGAAGTTTAATAAGGATGGGGATTCCTGGTGGCTTT